GAGAGAGAGAGAGAGAGAGAGAGAGAGAAAATCCTGAAAATAGCCGGTATCAAACTGGAAAAGTAGCCATAGCATCAAAGGTAACTTGGTGTTTATAACACTTTGAACAAGTGGATGATGGACGAATCCTGCAGAATTTGTCCGTTTTAGTATCTAGTGGGTATGGAAAAACCAAGCGAAGAGTGTGAAGCTAATTCCGATGCCAGAGAATCGCTGATCAACTTATATTTCGACATCTCAGCATAAAACATAATTATGAAAATGTAGTGTTTCAATTATAGGCTCCGTTCCATGTTAGTTCTAAGTTGTTTTTTTACCAAATCGCTAAGCCTAGTGTGCATATTTTTCCCTGGCTCACTTTTATGTTGATCTCGCATCTAACACTACATAAACAAATGATCGATAACCTTTTGAATTATTTCAATATTTTAAAATGAAGCATCATAAAAATAGTGTATTCTGCTTTAATTATTTCCCTTCGAGTAGATTTGAAGGGGATGTATTGAATGTCCACGCTTCTAGTATAAACATATTTTTTATTATCCCTTCACGGTCAAATCAGTCTGTAGTTCTAACAGTGCAGTAGGGCTTCACGCCACGTGTTGAGTGAAAACAGCACGGTCCCTCGATCGCGCCTGCAAATAATTTCAATTAAATTGCAGTAGAGCTTTTTTTAATCGGTAATCACTGATAAAGTGTTAGCTAATCACTGCATTGTAATTTGTATTAACTGAGGTGTTGAAAATCAGACGGCATCGGTGGTTATGTCCTCCGGTCAACTTACCTGTAAAAATGTAACCTGTTCCCAGCTAGTGTTTGTCGCCAAATCAGTAATCATCACCACAGATTACTGATTTTAATCATTTTAGAGTAGGAAAAATTGTGTCGCCAAAGAATATCGCCTAACTGAATTTTTTGTCACCAAATCTGAAAAAGTGTTGCCATTTGGCGACTTGGCGATCGTTAATGTAAGCCCTGCAGATTTATAAGTCTACTGTACGTGTGAATCGTAAGTACCTGTACTGTAGCTGTTATTTTTTTTTACATTTATGACCAATAGTAGATTTGATTTCCTGATTTATGGTACTATGATTTCAAACATTAAATTAATGTCCATGAAATGCTTATTTTTTTTTTATATATATGATAAGGCCATGAAAACTTATTTGCACAATCTCTTTTTCAAGAAGATGATGGGGATGTAATAGAGCTGGAGGAGAAGATGAAGCAGCAGCTACGTGATAACATGAGGCGGGAGAGTACCCTGGTCCACCGCCTTGCCACTAAGGAACAGGAGCTTCAGGACTACATTGTATGCTCATTATGAATGTATTTCATACAGTTTAAAGTTTCCTTTTTTTTCAAATAATTGAAATATTGAAGAAAGTTGGCCTGCAAAAGAAATGAACAAATAACGTAGCAAATTTCAGTCACTACTTATGTATTAAATATCACAAAAAAAATGTCAAAACTCTAAGGTCTGATTCTTTTTTCAAAAGTGTTTGTTTTACAGAAAATAACTTCTTTAAGCAGGATATACACGAAGGATAAAGTTGTTTTGACATACAAAAATGATGAGTAGATCTTACATACATAAAGGTTAAAATAGATCTTACATACATAAAGGTTAAAGTAGATCTTACATACATAAAGGTTAATGTAGCTCTGACATACATAAAGGTTGAAGTAGTTGTGACATACATAAAGGCCAAGGTAGCTCTGACATGCATAAAGGTTAAGGTAGCTTTGACATACATAAAGGCTGAAGTAGCTCTGACATACATCAAGATTAAGATAGCTATGATATACATAAAGGTTAAGGTAGCTATGATATACATAAAGGTTAAAGGTAGCTATGATATACATAAAGGTTAAGGTAGCTCTGACATACATAAAGGTTAAGGTAGCTATGATATACATAAAGGTTAAAGTTAGCTCTGTCATACATAAAGGCCAAGGCAGCTCTGACATACATAAAGGTGAATGTAGCTCTGACATACATAAAGGTTAAAGGTAGCTCTGTCATACATAAAGGCCAAGGTAGCTCTGACATACATAAAGGTAGCTCTGACATGCATAAAGGTTAAGGTAGCTCTGTCATACATAAAGGTTAAGGTAGCTCTGACATACATAAAGGTTAAAGGTAGCTCTGTCATACATAAAGGTTAAGGTAGCTATGATATACATAAAGGTTAAAGGTAGCTCTGTCATACATAAAGGCCAAGGTAGCACTGACATACATAAAGGTTAAGGTAGCTCTGACATACATAAAGGTTAAGGTAGCTCTGTCATACATAAAGGTTTAAAGGTAGCTCTGTCATACATAAAGGCCAAGGTAGCTCTGACATACATAAAGGTTAAAGGTAGCTCTGACATACATAAAGGTTAAAGGTAGCTCTGACATACATAAAGGTTAAGGTAGCTTTGACATACATAAAGGTTAAGGTAGCTCTGACATACATAAAGGTTAAGGTAGCTCTGTCATACATAAAGGTTAAGGTAGCTCTGACATACATAAAGGTTAAAGGTAGCTCTGACATACATAAAGGTTAAGGTAGCTATGACATACATAAAGGTTAAGGTAGCTCTGACATACATAAAGGTTAAGGTAGCTCTGTCATACATAAAGGTTAAGGTAGCTCTGACATACATAAAGGTTAAAGGTAGCTCTGACATACATAAAGGTTAAGGTAGCTCTGTCATACATAAAGGCTGAAGTAGCTCTGATATACATAAAGGTTAAAGGTAGCTCTGACATACATAAAAGTTAAGGTAGCTTTGGCATACATAAAGGCTGAAGTAGCTCTGACATACATAAAGGTTAAAGGTAGCTCTGACATGCATAAAGGTTAAGGTAGCTATGATATACATAAAGTCCAAGGTAGCTCTGACATACATAAAGGTTAAAGGTAGCTCTGACATACATAATGGTCAAGGTAGCTCTGACATACAGAAAGGTTGAAGTAGCTCTGACATACAGAAAGATTAAAGGTAGCTCTGACATGCATAAATGTTAAAGTAGCTATGATATGCATAAAGGCCAAGGTAGCTCTGACATACATAAAGGTTAAAGGTAGCTCTGACATACATAAAAAATAAAGTAGCTCATTAAATTGCTAAGCAAGCCTTACTGGACAAATAAACAAGACAAAGAGTGTGATTACATCCGTTGTCCACTGTGAACAGGCAGTGATCAATGTATAATTTTGATTCTCAAGTTTACTACAAATTTTATTCCAAATTTCTGAATATAATAAAATCACAATTGTGTCCCCAAGTGAGGAATTCTGATATAAACACCAAACATGTATTTGTGTGTAGTACATGTACTAGTGAAGTAAGTCAGACTCCTGGTCTATATATAAAGATGTTTTACTATGTATTTGTATTAGTGCTAAGGAATTTAATTTTGGTTTGAAACAGTATTTCCACTTAGTTCATATTTTCATTTTCAGAACCAAATTGCGGAAATGAAACAAGCGCAGACCCAAAACTCAGCCCAACTAAGATCTATGCTGTTGGACCCCGCAGTAAATCTCGTGTTCCAGAGAATGACCAAGGAAATGGATGAATCCCAGGAGAAACTCAAACAAACCCAAAATGAACTTAGTGCTTGGAAGTTCACACCAGACAGGTGCTTATCTTCCCTTTTGGTTACTCTTATAATACTGACCAATTCATTACCGACATGACATGTAAGGCTTCTCTGGCTTTGTTTCCATTTTAGTTTGTAATGCCCGTATCAGGTTCGTATTGTACCACAGTCCACTGCAGCCAAAAGTATCTGATGCGCTCAGGAAAGTGTCCGAAACAGACCATCGGTCAGTTCCCGAGACTCTTAGCCGAACGTTCAACTCGCTGTGGCTTTTTTCCGAATTTGAACTCAAATTACTAATTGACTCGCACAAGGTATACTGACCACAAGCTATCGGTATGGTGCCGGCCAAATACCCAGACTGTGTTCAATACAGGCCACTGAACCCCCTGCAGTTCGTCCTACCGTTAGGTATTATTTGAGGTATCGTCCATGGATAAACTCTTGCCCAATGCAGTTACTGCTCATAGTGCGGAGTGACAATTTGTCGCGAATCTTGGGACAGAACAGTTGCTGCCACTGTAATAATTTCTTGACATTTTGTCATCTTCTTTTGTCAGAAATAAATACCCAAAAAAATTAAGATTTATATCCTTTTTCAATTTACATTCCAATTACTAAAATGAACTTTCCCTGGCTTTGAAATCAGAATAATAGAAAGAAGTAATGAGATAGGACTTTTAAGAACTATTTCAAAGGCATATTAACTTGGAGCTGAAGATAGCAGCAGTTATTGACAGGTTCGTATTTACTTGCCTGCTCCATTTTCACATTATAATCATCTGAGTAAAAATGAAGAAAACAGTAAAAACTGTTTTGAATGTGTGAAATATTGAGGAGAAAAAATCTGAATGTTTGATTCATTGATTGAAAATGCTTATTCAGTCACCCTCAACGCTACAATGGAGGACCAAAGCTTCTACATTGGTCAATTTCAGTCACATCTGTGGGCAAATGAGTTTGTTCTTCAACGGATCAATGTTGCTTGTATTTCAAGTTTAGTATATAAATGTGAATTGGAATTATATGACTTCGAGTTAATATAATCTGCTTTAAGTATTACCATATCTAATTTCAGGGGAAATATTTTTCCAGTTATGAAATCAAGAATTTATAGTCCTTTATCATTTAAATGAGATGTTTTCCTTTTTTTTTGATAAGCTGTGTGTTTATTTGTACATGTGATTGCTTTGTTGTATGCCCATCCCATCTGAACAGTTAGTCTTGTATACAAGGTTTTTGGATAGGATTCATTATGGTATTTCACCATAACAAAAAATCCAGACTTAATATTTGTATGTTGGAATACTTAAGAAAATGTTTAATATAGATCTTCCAGAAAGAAAGAAAAATGAAAACGGAGGTGTTTCATGTCTTAATATGGGTTTCTAAACTGTAGAGCACACTTTGTGACAATCAGAAGGCACAGAAAGTGAATAATATTGCAGTTTTTATCTTTATGAAGCAATTACAGGTCTAAGTCATATAAATATAATTATATACACACATGAAGTTTTAAGATGGGATGGATAGCTACAAGCTAGCCTTTATCTTCAATCATCTCTTCATAATGTTGATTTGATTGGGATTTACTGTTGTGAAGTGAAACTTTTATAAGCTCACCTGCCCGAAGGGTTGTTATGGTGCAACGTCAGTCGTCCGTCGTCTGTCCATCCGTCGTCCGTCTGTCCGGCGTCAACTTTTTACTTTAAACAACTTCTTCTCAATAACCAAAAGGCCCAGGGTACTGATATTAGGCCTGTAGCATGCTGGGATGAAGGGCTACAAAGTTTGTTCAAATAAATGACCTTGACCCACTTTCAAGGTCACAGGGGTCAAATATGTTAAAATCTTCAAACAACTTCTTCTCAATAACCAAAAGGCCCAGGGTACTGATATTGGGCCTGTAGCATGCTGGGATGAAGGGCTACCAAGTTTGTTCAAATGAATGACATTGACCCACTTTCAAGGTCACTGGGGTCAGATGTCTTAAAATCTTCAAACAACTTCTTCTCAATAACCAAAAGGCCCAGGGTACTGATATTGGGCCTGTAGCATGCTGGGATGAAGGGCTACCAAGTTTGTTAAAATGTTTGACCTTGACCAACTTTCAAGGTCACTGGGGTCAGATGTCTTAAAATCTTCAAACGCCTTCTTCTCAATAACCAAAACGCCCAGGGTACTGATATTGGGCCTGTAGCATGCTGGGATGAAGGGCTACCAAGTTTGTTCAAATGAATGACCTTGACCAGCTTTCAAGGTCACAGGGGTCAAATGTTTTAAAATCTTCAAACAACTTCTCAATAACCAAAAGGCCCAGGGTACTGAAATTAGGCCTGTAGCATGCTGGGATGAAGGACTACCAAGTTTAATCAAATGAATGACCTTGATCCACTTTCAACCTGATGTCCTTGTTCGACATTCAAGGTCACAGGCGTCATATGTTTAAATCTTTTAATAGCTTCTTATGAATCAAACACTGATATTCTGCCTGTAGCTGTATTTTAGTCCACTTTTAAGATTACAAGTGTGAGATTTATACCAGGTGAGCGATGCAGGCCCATTGGGCCTCTTGTTTTGATAACTGACATACTGTAAAGATAAAGCGAAACGTTCATTCTCTTAAACACTGATATTCTGCCTGTAGCTGTATTTTAGTCCATTTTTAAGATTACAAGTGTGAGATTAATACCAGGTGAGCGATGCAGGCCCATTGGGCCTCTTGTTCTCTTTTGCTGAACTTTTCATGAAAAAAGTGAAATATAATATGACATTCAGATTTGACCATACAAGTATTCTTTTCTTCAGTTAATTGAAAATTGATAGTACTATATCCTATATAGTCAAGATCCAGTCATTTACCAAACTCTGACCATACGCATGCCATCTCCCACAGGCCATTAAAAACACTTCAATGAAGCATGTTCCAGACTTGGTGGTCATTAAAATGTTATTGTCAGTAAATGATATGACATGAGTACTTAAATGACCAATGGCCTCAATACCTGGAAAACTTGTATGCATTACTGATTGACTTATCATGACTAGTAAACTAAAGAAATACTGTAATCTTTCATAGTTCCATATTCCTGATACATGTCATAGTGTATTCTTGTATATAACCTAGTCACAGTTATAGGTCAAAGGTCAGTATCTTGTTTGTCAGGTTACGGTAATATTGTAATTTTACCTAACTGTAATTTAAATGATGGCTTAAATAAGCACACCTTGAAAAGACCCTTAGATATCTGTATCAATAGTTAACCACTAGGTTCCTGTAACAATAGATACTTTTTACCTGTAACTCTAGATAGTCCCCTAGGTACCTGTATAAATAGAAGACCCTTGATACCAGTATTAACAGTAGCCCCACGATACCTGTATGATCAACAGTAGAACCCTAGTTACTCGGTAGATACCTGTATCAACAGTAGGCCCTTGCATACTTGTGTCAACAGTAGACCCTGTATCAGCAGTATACCCTTAGATACCTGTATCAATAGTAGACCCAAGTCTGACCCCTAGTTACCGTTATCAATAGGAGACCCCTAGATACCTGTTTCAAAATGAGACCATTATGTTGATTTGTACCTGTAATAATAGCAGACCTCCTGGGTACCTCAGTGGTAAACCCTTTTGTTCTTGTGTCATGATTTCAATCTGATCTTTCTTTGCTGCTACCTCTGAAACTGTTGTGTCAGTGTTTGTGCCGTTTTAGCTGTATCTAGTGGAAGTCTGTGGGTGTAGAGCTCATATAGTTGTATATTGTTGTCTTACTGGGTATCTGTGTAGATATATATAAATGTGATAGAAAAAAACTGGTTCTTACCTATTTTGTCTTAAGCATCAAATCATAGCCATTACTTAATGCCAGACATGGATCATTCTTTTCTCTTCATATTTTAACTAAAAGATGGGAAGAAACTCATTGAAATTTCTTAATGATCCATGAATCATTTCGCCAGAACTCTATAATTGATCAAAAAGTTTTTTATGTATTTGTCTTCAAAAATGTATGAAGACAAAAGGAAACCAAGTCATTATTACTGGACAAAATGAACAAATCTGTTTAGTATTATTATTGGACATTGTGACTAATATCCATCAAATGGAAAAAAAGATCTGGTTGTTAGAAAAATACAAAAATACTGATATAATGATATGATAAACAAACTTTAAGATGAGGTAGATGTTGACATTACAAAATCATTTTCATTCCTAGTAATAGAAGAGATGGCTCCTAGCATGAAAAATATTGGATGTGTTTGGTGGTACAGTAGATATTGAAGACTGAAGCTACAGATATGCTGTTGGTTTATAATTTTGAACATAACAAGGAGATTAATTTTCAGGAAGAAGACTGTTTTGTGTGTTGATTCTAATTAACAGGCTTGGAAAAAAAAAAAATGCAAATGATAAACATTTGCCCAAAAAAAATGAAAATGTGTAAAAATTGGTGTGAAAGTATTCTGTGAAACAATTTCCAGAGGAAATCTGCATTGTGAGTTACCATTCATGTGAGGGAGAAGACAAGGTGACAATGGTGTTGAGATAGCTAAGTGTTGGTATCAAGTTAGCTACTCTCTAGATCTGGAGACAATGGTGTGGAGATAGCTAAGTGTTGGTATCAAGTTAGCTACTCTCTGGAGTCTTCAGTGCAATATAAAATAATAAGAGCATAATGATTTATGAAACTGTGATAAAGAATTTGGAATTTCCAGATTTGTGCTTATAATAGTGAAAGATTATTGGAAAATATAAGTGCAAGCTTTTGAGAATAAGTTGGTCGCAGATAATGCAGAGGAATGTGATTTATTTTCAAAGTGTTAAAAGTAATGCAAAGGAGAAATAAGAAATTAACACATATAGATCATCAGTTTAGCGGATCATCAGCAGAATATCCAGTGCACCAGTATTATATTTTTGAAAGGAAAAAAAGCATGACGAAGAATGGAATGCATGAAGATAGTACAACCTATTCCACATCAACAGTTTGGTCGTCAAGGATACTCACATCAGTGTAAGCTTACTTGGAGACC